TGTGTGTGTGTGTGTGTGTGTGTGTGTGTGTGTGTGTGTGTGTGTGAACACCAGAGGTTGTTCTCAACTCTGTCCAATTGCAGCCCTGGCAGTTCTGGTTGCTTTCAAATTTCATGGGTAGAAAAGAGTGGGGGAAGGAACTCTGTAATTGGAAGCAGTAGTCAAAAATGGTCAAGGAGCACTCAGAAGAGTACTTTGAGGATCAGTAATTTGCTTAGAGAATTTCTATTTTCACAAACATGTTGCTTAGCAACCCTTTAGCTGAGGAGAGCCGGTGCTCCAAGGCTTTTGTTCTAGCTCAACGAGAAAAAAAAACATWAAAAAAACCTGATGGTCAATATAATTTAAACCCTGTGGAGGAGTGCCGAGCCAGATCTTCCTGCGATACACAGCGCGGAGTGTGTATTTCAAGTCCTGGCTGTGAAAAGTTTGTACTTTTCACACAGAAGCAATCAATAGATCCTGTAAAGCTTTACAGATAAAACTTACTGGCAACTTTGTTTTTTCTACAAAGGATTTGCGCCGGAGTTACTGTGCAGCCTCACCTCCCAGGCGCCTTCGTAGTTCTGCTTCTTGAGGCGGACGGCCCAGTTATCGAGGCATGCGTCAAAGCAGTGGTCCATGCTGAGGATAACCGGCCGGCTCAGGACTACCCCCGGAGGGCCACAGCTCACAATGGGGCTCAGGAGGGTCTGGCAGCCGGCCAGGGGTAACCTAGAGAGCAGAGAGAGACGCAGAGAGGGAGGGAGGGGAACGAATCGAGACAAAGTGCTTGTAATTAMTAAGATATTAGTGAGAATTTACTGGTCTCTTGAAAGCAGAATATGATACTGTCACCTCTGCAAATTATCTAGCAGCTGGAACAAAGAATAATTAAAGCCTGCTGGACTCACCGATGATGTGAGGACCGAGCAATAACATAACACTATCACTGCGCTTTTAGAGGATGAGAGCAGCAGGCCAGATAAACACTGCCTTCCAAGCAATTCATTTAACTTAAACAGTGCACATCCTTGTAAAAGGCTGTGTTATTTATTTACATCCCTCCTCCGCAGTGCTGGCACAGCCTCTTAAGCCTTTCCTAATGGAACAGTAGAGCATCAAAACAAAGAGCCTAGTGGCATTCAGGGAAGACTGCCAGTTAGACAGTGCTAAACAGACCTACCTTAAATCTTCCTTCCTCTGAACAGTGAGATAAATCTCGTAGATCTTTCCTCTGGGGATGGCCTCGGGAGGAATGAGCAGACTGATTCCTAATGCAAATAACAACAAAAGAGAGAGGGGTGGGGGGAACATGCTCATTTGTTGTGACTGAACAACACTTTTGTCATCTCACAAAAGCAACCAGCCCACATGATACAACTGTACAGCAGAAACAAACAAAAACAGCCACATCTCTTCTGAAGGTCAGAGGCAGCCTTCTTCAGGTGCAGCAGATGCAGATCTGTGCAGCTGCGGCACGTCCCCAATATCAACAATTAGCCGAGACGAAAGCACGTGCTGCATCGCGGTTTAAACGTCCTCCGTCTGCCACCAAGTAGATAATTGAGACCGTGGAACAGACTACTCCAGGAAAATCGCACTTCCCCAGGAGTACGTTCAAATGCACGCCGGAGAGCACGGAGAGCTGCTGAAGCCGTTTGAGAGCTGCMGCTTTTATGTTGGGATTCTTGTGCCAAAATTACCCCTCAGAATGCCATTTTAAATGTAGGCCGACTAGCGACTGCGTGACACAGTTTTAACAATCACCCGAATTTAAACTGGGCCTGTTTACTGTTAAGAAAGCATCTGTCTGAACGAAGGCGAAGGTGTTTGAATGCTCACAGCTTTTAGTCCATAAAACACGTCACTCTGAAATGATGATAAATGACAGAATAGCTTTGAGTGGATGTATGCAAGTGTAAGATTTTATTTTATTTATTTTTTTCCCTGTTCCTGCGTCCCTTTGAGAAAATGTGTGCCAATGCGTGGTGTAGTCAACACAGCTTTGAGTTAATCCATGCATAAAATATGTCTAAGAGACAGGCAAAGGAAACACACACACAGGAGGAGAGAGGTGGCAAAGAAAACATGCAAAAGGTTTTGTTTTTCTTCCACAAGATATTGTTTCGTGCTAATCTGGACAGTGAACAATGAGCCAAATGGAAATATTGTCTTGCAGTGTAATTATATAAGCTCTGTACTTCACTACTGTAAATAAGAAAAGCAAAAAGTACAGTAATGTACTTTTTTTAAACTATAAGATCTACCAGAATCTTCACTTTGCCTATTTTTGTTCCTCCATCAATGCTCTTAGCGCACCACTGACATTTGTGGACATTGACAATTATTTCAACCAGCTCTGCCATTAGTCAGAGGCTTAATTGGAATAATTTGTTCAAGGTTTTATTCCAAGGATCTTTCTGAGCAGAGTGTATTTGGCACGCGCTCGTTTCATCTCATCTCATCACTGCACCGAACACTTCGACTATTCATGCCAGCAAAGTCTCCATGTAGGTCACTGACAAAGCATTTTAGGACATTATGCATCTCAGATACTGCACAAACAAAAAAATACATCCTACACTGACTCGGTGGTTTATTTAGTCACTTTTTAAACATTTCCACCTGATGTGACATTTTGCTATATCACAGAGAAAATGATGCCTCAGGTTTAAATCAAGCGAGCAAACAGACAATTACTGCACACAATTCTCCTTAATCACGTTGTTAAAAATAAGCATTTGATGCAACTTCTCCTCCTTAAAGTAATTTATATACCAGACAAAAACAATACTGCTTGTTTTCCGTTTGAATTAAAGTTCCAGCACATTTTATTTGTGAGATATCAACTCATTAGAAGCTCCATGTACATAAAGTTTAAGGTTTGAATGAGACGATGAGCTTTAGGACTCAGCTGTTACTAATAAACTCTCCTTGTTAACATCCAGTCGGACACATTAAACAGGTGTAATAAAACAATACAGCAGCCTTGTTCTCACAGTARGTCTCATCGTACTGTAGCAACAGATGTTAAATTATTTCAATGATACTTGTCTTGTTTGCTTGAAGTTTAGCAGTAAAAAAGAGGGCCAACAGAAGAACAGTGACATCAACGTTTGGAGTTTGCATGCTCTCCTTGTGTGTGTTTTTTCCTCCAGGTACTCCGGTTTCCTCCCACAGACCAAAAAAAAAAAAAAAAAACCCACATTTGTTAGAACTCTAAATTGTCCAAAGGTGTGGGTGAGAGTGTGAAAGCGTGGCTCTGTGATGGACTTGCGACCCGTCCTCTGGTTGGATCCAGTTCTTTTACGTAAGCACAAGAAAACATGAAAACATACAGGCAGGAAACTCAATCAGTCTGCAACACTGCTGACAATTATCCTGCACAGACAACACTACGCAGACCCCCGGGGCTTTGACTGACACTCTGCACTTCTGTGCACCGTATGGWTTTTTTTTTACCTCCAAATGGATTCCAGAGTTAGAAGCAATTTAGTTTCCACCAACTCTTAACTGTGTAAGATCAAAGACCCACTTTTGTCACAGAAACCAAGAACTAATGAAAATGTTTTGACCTTCATGTTTAAAAGCTCTGAATTAGTCTTACATTTAGTCTGCTTTGACTAAAACTAAACACAAAGTACTCAGCTTCAATATTATTAGGAAGTCACAATGGTTGTTTGTTCAAATAAGTGGAGCAGTTTTTCAGTGGTGTTGCCTCGCAGCAAAAAGCTGCTGTGTTTCAGACTCGGCTGTGTGGTGCTTGAATGTTCTCCTCGTGCTTTCATGAGCTTTCTTTCTTCTGTTGTCCAAAGACATGCACATTAGATTGTTTGGTGACTCTGAACTTGGCATGAGTAAAGTGACTGGTTGTTTCACTCTTTGTGGCCAGGTGATGGACTGGCACCAGCTTACTGCAGCCCTGGATGAATTTATCACCAGCCTGTCTTTACAGATTCTTCTTGAAGCAGTGTGTATAACTCCTGTTTTCAGCAACATTTATAAGTTGTTTAAGCTAATCTAACAACGTTAAGGAATCTGGTTATGATAATGAGACAAAGAAAAACCAAACCCGTTCCATCCGTAGCGCTGAGACGTCTTTGGTGAACAAATGTGTGCACATTTGAGTTCATTTTCTTGTGCCACAAAAAGCWAACCATGATACAAGAAAAATCAACAACATATTGAGTGCTCTTAGGTTTGACAACAATGAAATCTCAAGTCATAAATAATAAGATAGAGAGATACTGTGGGCTTTTATCAACCCAAATATAAAAGCTCCCTTTGGGTTAAGAAAAAGTCTGGAGCACAAAACAACCAGACCGAGACTTGAGACTTGGAAAGGAGTCTGCTTCTAACAAGAGGATTTTTACTCTCGCTCTCTTTTTTCTTTTTTTCTGACTTTTATCAAGAATTAAAATGATAGACAACAATTATAATTGCTAATTTGCTTGTTAAGATCATAAAACTCAAGCTCTGTGAGCAAATAAAAGATTACCAGCACGATTTAGAAGTTAGTGCTGATGATTCACAGCAAGAATATCGCATGTTCGATCCCCGGTTTGACCCTGGAGTCTCTCTGTTTGAGGTTTGCGTTTTCCTCAACGTGTTTGTGTTGTTTTGTCTCTTTTTTCCTCTCACAAACCAAAAATATGTGCATTAGGTTGCCTTCAGACCTAAACTATAAAGCATTCACACTGTTGAGATCGTTCTTTCTTCTGTACATTCTTCATATACCAAACGTTCAGCTCCTTCAGGACATTCTGGCTGTGACTTTTGGTACTTCAGCAATTTATACTTTTGGAAATATTTAGCTTTTTTYGCCATTATTTTCCTCACTGAAAATAAATGGAGCTGTCTTCAACATTCTTAAACCCCTTCGAGATGTTCATAAATCTTCACTGTACTTTTTACRTTTTGTTCTGGTTTGGCTTTTTTAACTTCTGTGCTAATTTCAGCTTTCTTTGGCTTCTATTTAGCTGATTTTAGTTTTTTTTTTGCCTTTTTAGCCATCATTCTGATCTTTTCTACTATTCTGCTAATTTGCAGCTTCTCATTTTGATAATTTTAAACTTTTATTTTGTTCCTTTCACTTTGTTTCTACCCTCTTCAGCTACTTTTCTATTTCTTTTACTTTTATCTGTATCATTATGCATTTCTCAGATATTCTATACGTCTAGAAGATTTTGTTTTTACTGTTTGGATTCTTCAATTCACCTACACTGCCATCACTAATATGCACCTTCATTTACATTCATTTATTTACTGTACTAGGTATATGTACATTGTTATATATCACGAGTATAGTGTTATTTGTTTTTCTTTTACTTATCTTTATTCTATCTCACCCTGTCATGTTTTGAGCTGCTGTAATATGCAAATTTCCTCCCCACTGTGGGATCAATAAAGTTTTATCTTATCTTATCTTATCTTATCTTATCTTATCTTATCTTATCTTATCTTATCTTATCTTATCAGCAAGTCTCAGCTATTTTTTTAGGTTACACCTGAACTGTTAACATTCAGCAGCAATAACAGTTCAGCTTTTAAATATATCGGTTTCTTCAGCAGCTTTTAGCTAAGTTATTATGCACACACTCAGACTGCACTTTCGCAGGAAACGCAATTTCTGTGGTTTCAGGTTAGCAATGGTGGGCACCTCTAATCTAAAAATTAGTTGCACTTAYCTCTAATATTTAGGTCCCCTAATTCTAAAGCAATAACGCACTTGAAAACTTAGCAAAAGCTAATTCTAAAGCACCCAGCTGACCTATGGAGCATTCCTCAGAGTCAACATGAGAATATTTTCTGTGTGCAGAATATTGTCAATATTTCATCTGGTGGAATGGTTCCCAAAGTTGGGGTTGGGACCTCTTTGTGGGTCATGAAACTTCAAGTGAGGGTCCCCAGATGATTTCCAGACATCAATTTAAATACAAAAAATGCTAATAGAATATTTTCATCATGATTATTGCAATTTCTTAAATAATCGTAAATGAATAAAAACTAATATCATAGTTTAGGTTTGTTTATAGTTATTACAGTTTAACAGAGTTATTTGCAAAGTTTGCCCATGTAAACAAGTAATATCTGGGGTCACAAGTGTCTGCAACTGTTATTTTGTGGGCCGGAAGCAAAAACCTTTGAAAACCACTGATCTAGTGGACAAATGACACACATATGAYCAACACGTCTGACAGCTTTCACCCTCAGCTGTTGACAATAATGTTGAMCAATAATATTTAAAGAACTCAATTAGTGCTTATAAATTTAGCCCATACATTTAGCAAGTGAGAATCCACTAYTGAATTAAGAAATTAGCAAAAGCCCTAAAGCACTAATCAGGAAATTAGTTCCCCTGTTAGTGCTTTAGGGGAACTGTGCCCACCACTGCAGGTRAGTTACAGCATCTTCACAGTACTGATCCCTGTGTTAAAGTGRCCTAAAATGCTGTGAAGTTGTTCTGTTCCAACAGTAATATTTATTCTGAAATCTTACTGACAACCTGAAATCASAAACATGCAGTTTAGATCACAGAAAGTGGTTGTTTGACATTTTAGATCTTTATTTATAAAGCCTCAACACCATCATGAAACCTAAAGCAGAGAACCCACCTGTGTTGGGGATGGTCAGTCTCCCACCCAGGAAGTTGAAGGTCCCATAGGAGGCGTTGGCCACGTCCCGAGGAAGCGTTTTAAAGTAGCTCTGAGTGGACAGCCTGCTCACGAACTCGGCTGGGTCRGGGTTCAGCTTGCCATTGTGCAGCGTGTGCGAGCCGTTGGGCAGCGGGTCCAGCAGAGGCCCGTTGGTCATCGAAAACTTGCCGGCGGCATCGTGGCGTGAGCGCAGGGTGCCCTGGTAACTGGTGGTGGTGGTCGTCAGATCAGGCTGGATGGTTAGCAAATGGGAGTTTTCTGTGTGAATAGTGTAAACAGAGATAGAAAAAAAAGAAAGCAACATGTCAATCTCTATTAGTGTTGGTGTGTGTGTGTGTGTGTGGGGGGGGGATCCTACATCACAGAGACAGACCTCACACTCGCTAAAACTGTCGCAGAAAACTGAAACAAACACTGAAAGAGACACATGGTTTGGAACGCAGAGCACATGCACACGCTTGACAGCACGCTAACACAAATTTTACCCAAAGCCAGTCAATTCCTGCCCCTCCCCCCCCTTCCAACTCCTCTATCACTGTCTGTCTTTTTAGCAACTAGACAATCAATTCCAAACAGGACTCAGATGCAGCTCAGCATCCAGAATGCATGAAAGCTTCTTTTATTTCATGGTGAATCACAGGCACTGCAGCCCAGCTCCACAGCTCCATCCACCTCAGACAGTTGCATTTCTATTCCTTGCTGTTAAATCTCAGAGGCTCCACGCAGGCTGCAAACAGAGTGGGTACATTTCCTCAGAATGAGGTGGAGGCAAAACATAWTGTGTCAGGCAGCAACARGAAACACACACAAACACACATTAATCTTTCTTGCACCATGAACCACTGCAAACACGTTCACACCACAAACGTAACGGGTTTGGAGCTACAGGAAATGGATGGATGCTGCACGGTCACAGTGGGAAGACGGACACACGAGGGTAGAACAAAAGTAGTGTCCTACTGCTGTGGGGCGGCCTGCGTGGCCGTGGCGCCCACACACCTGGCTTGCTGGGCTTGATGCCCATAGGCTGGAAGCCAGTGGTGAGGATGGACGAGTCCGCCACGTCTGCYTCCAGGCCCTCCTTCTTGCGCCGGTACACCAGGACGACCACGATGAGCAGCAGAGTCAGACACAGGACCACCGCCACCATCCCCACGTAGAGCGCCACATCCTCGGCCCCGCTCACCGCTGCAAGAGGAGGATGGAGAGAAGTGATCATTTAAAAGACAAACACTCGTGTTGGTGTTTATTGCAATATTATTTAGAAAATCACAGTTTGATGAAATCTGAGCTATCAAAGTAGTTTATGAAACAGTTCTRTACTTTTACTTAATCATATTTAGTTATGTAATAGGTATTAGTTATGTAAAACACTATTTTATTTGAAACAGATTAGATTATAATTGTCCAGTAGCTTGTAGAGCCTGGTTTAGTAACAATAAGTATTTTCTCACACCGCTGAGGAATATTTTTATTACTCTGCTGTATAATGATGCTTCTGTTCATTACAATTTGTGGGAATCATGCCTCTTTAGAGTCCCACAACATKATGTCAACTGAAGTTGCTTGGAAYTAAGAAAGAGGGGCTTTGAGGAAAATAGGTTGGTAACCACTGATCTAAGCCATGTGAGGTTTCTGATCAACGTTCTAGACATTAAATTCAGAGGAAAAAAAATCACTAAAATGGTATTTTATGGTCTTGGACAGGATCATTGCAATGCATTAATTTGTTTAAAAAAATCCATAAATCTCCTCAAGATTTGTCTGATCGTTTTGCAGATGCCCCACTCTGTTTCCATCGAACTAACAAACAAACTGATATTAAAATAATTTAATAGAGTTTATAATTGAGTTAATAACTGTATGTGTGCAGCTGTGAAACAAATTTAAATCATCAACCCACCAAACTGATAGCTAGTTTCCATGTTTGGTTTTGGCTAAACTTCTTGGTCTTTTCTGAATTATTTTTGTTTGTTCAGATGCAACTTTGCAAACATATTCCACGCTGTCACATTCTTTAGAGAAGAGGGTTTTCTCTGGGGCTGCGAGCTTGGGGTCCCTCTCGGGGTCTTTGGCACTGGTCTCCCTTATGTCGGCTTTGGGCTTTGCGGGTCGGGTCTGTGGTCCCCCACAGTCACTTTTAAACATTCCATTGGAGAAGATCTTGTATATACATGTATGCTCACAACCGCACACAAACAGGTGTTTACATCCTGGGATTTCTATTCGGGCACTGACTGAATGGTATGTGCATATGTGTATGTATAGATATATGTATATGTGTATGTATAGATATATGTATATGTGTATGTGTATATTTACAGTATATATATGAAAGTGTTTGGGTATGTAGCTATGGGTATGTTCATGTGTATATGTATAAATTTATATATGTATATGGGTATGGTTTTCAGCAAGGCTATAYTCGTTTTGCTATCTTTGTTTTGTAGGTGTGGAGCCAAGAAGTCGGGTGTGCTGTCTTGTGTTTTCTCAACATATATTTCACATATCTTCTAATCTCTCTTTCAATCTTTCTCGTTACATTTCTCTTTCTTTTTCTCCTATTAAAAAAAGCCACTGATGAAGAAGAAGCTAAGATACTAATATTCAGATATTCAGTTCTGCTTTCTATTGAAGTGGCAAAAAAAGAGGGTTTTCTCCCGACTCGGTCTCAAAACTAGTTTTTTTTATTTATTTTTTGTTATGTTTTCTTTGAGTGTTTTAAATTTTTACTTTCATGAATGTTATTATTTATTATTCGTCCTGTAAAATCAGAACAGGAGAATCTGAGATGTAGCTGTGGTGGAGTTTCATGCAGACAGTCTGACCTCTCAGTGAACTTCTTTGAATGTTCGCTCTGAAGGTTCACCACTTTAATGTTTTGGACTTTTTAATAATTCTCACTGTAAAAATAACGGACACCAAATTGTTTGGTAAACTTACCCAGAGTGACAAGCAGAAATAATTGGTTTTCTGAGCTCATTTCTGATGTCATTCCCGTTAAGTGTGTAAACACACACCTAAAGGCTTTCCAGACCAGCTAGAACCGTACTGATTCTCCAATACTGAGGTGAAAAAAGTATATTTTATCAGCAGCTACTTCTTTCATCACACACTTCTGAATTTTTAGTTTTAGTAAAATAATAACACTGTAACTGTTCACTTGACACATTTAAGACCTGATGTATACTATACAACTTTCTTTCTTACATCTTGATATTTCCTATCTTTTACATTTCGAAGCATCTCCATGTGAAGGCAAAAAAAAATCTATTTTTACTGTTTCTGCAAAAGAACTGGAATTTTCTCTTCCCAAAGTACAGCAGGAGTATGACAGCTAAGCCGAAAAACAATGTGTGTGCGTGTGTGTGTGTGTGGATGTGCGTGTGTGTGTGTGCGTGCGTGTGTGTGTGTAGTTGTGTGTTCTGTAGGAGAATGGAATCTGCTGCAGCTGTCTCCATGCGCTGCTGGTATCCGGTGGAGGATGCTCCCAAGGTCTTTGTGGAAGGCCATTGTGGCCGGGAGCCACTGGGGCGTAGTGCTGTCAACTGAAAACAGTCAAGGAGGGGAGGACGCATTGAGCGTTGCAGCTTTGAGGGACGGGCAACAACAGAAAAGGTTAAAGTGCTGCAGGCTGGCGCGTGCTGAGTTGACAACAAAAGGAGGAGGGTAGAGCAGAACAGAGAATACGAGAACAATCGTACGAGGAGGAAAATTAGAATTAAAAAGGCCAACAGGAAGGTAGAGTGTGTCTGACTGACAGCGTGTGTGATTTGCATCTCAACGACATCTCTGAAAGGTTTGAGTCGAACATAAGCCTATTTGAGTCATCGTATCACTGTATTTACCACTGTTTAGTCTTTTCCAACACTCATATTTAAAAGCACATATTCTTTCATGTTTTTATTGGTGTTGGTGAATTTTACGTCAATTAAAAAGTTTTTCGTATTCATTCAACATGTTGTATCTGACATTGCCAAGTAGGAGTCTCTGCAGTACACAGGGGGAGTTTCTTGTTGGGCGGAGTTTGTCCTAACTGTGATTGGTGGAATTTGGTATATAAGAGGACATTTTTGGGTGTGGGCAGAGTTTGGAAAAAACATGAGTGGTTGGATTTACTTGTTTTGTGAGGCAAATTAAATGATGAAGTAATGGTAAAAGTAAAAGTGTTATGAATATATACATATAATTTAACAACTTCAAATTTGTTATTAGTCATGACTAACATTAATATTCATGATCTGATCTTGTTCCATATGTACAGCGTTCAAATTTCATGTGGCTAGCACCTTCCTGTCTTGACGAAAATTAATATTTATGTTTAAAATTATAGGTGCTTTCTGGCCGTTTTGAGCTACACAGCCCTCATTTGCCCAACGTTCATCCAATCCAATGGTTATAGCTTCTTCAAACCCCACCCAAAATAGTCAATCTGACCAATCCTGTCTTTGGCAAACTCCTCCAACACACCAAGAAACTCCCACTTAGTGACTGCAGAGACCCCTGTCTCGAACATTGCCTTTTTATTCTGCCGTAAAACCCGCTTCTTCAGACTGACATACAAAAGACTTTAAAAGGAAAGCCAGAATCTATTTCATGGGTGATTATCTCAGTACAAACTGATACTTTAAGTAGTGGGATTATATTCAGCTTACCTCTATGTCCACATACAACCAGAGATCTCTTGACAAGTAATCAGTTGTGAATGACCCACTAAAGATAAACACAAGACTGTGTTGTGTTTAAGAACACACTTGTGGCACGAGGAGTCCTGCAGATACACCTGCCCTGTGTGTCTCAGCGGGTCAGTTTATGTATGTGCCTCTCGTCGTTTCTGACTCCAGTCTCCTCAGGCAGGTACAGAAGGTGCTTAACGCTGAGCAACTTGACAAACGCTTTAGAAATGAGCTACAGAAGAAACAGGAAGGGGAGACTATTTCTGAACATCTGATTAAAGTTCCCAAATCCAACCGTTTCTTGTGAGTCAAGATGCTGCGATATTTGAAGTGATACGTATGTGCAGTTTGCTGAAGGTGGTGCAGTCATACAAAAGACAGACACAAAAGCTGTGAGCAGAMAAATGAGCCAGATGCATCTGATTTACATTAGCTGGTTGTTGTTTGTTTTCTGAGGGCATGCCAAAGACACCTGGCTAACCTTAGATGCAAAGATCCAATATCGCTGCTCTTTTTCTCTCCGTGAACAGTGAGCTCACAACATAACAATAAGGGTGGTCAATCAGGGCACTCACCACACCCCCTGCCTCTCCTCCTCCGTTCTGACTGTAATCTCCGGTGTCTTATCAGAGCATCACAGAGTGAAGTTTTATCTGACCCACCAGGTGTCACAGCCCAACGATCCCAGTGCTCACTGCAGCCGCCCTCGGCTCCCTCCGGTCCCACGCTCATTGATTTCCACGATGCCAGCCAATAATTGAAAGGACATCCATCACACGTTTAATTGACACAGCTAATCAGGTTTTATAATTGGATGGGCTCTACTTTAGTCCCTCTTCAAAGTGCCCCCTCTTTCCACGCACTCCATACCAATTTACCTCTCTTCCGCCCTATCCATCATCCCATCCTCCATTTCTACTTGACTTAATTGCTGGAAAGGAACTTTTGAATTACTTTGTTCTGGGGCCGCTCATGATGATCGACACCTGTCTGAGGATAATCTAGAAATGTGATGAGATGTTTTGTGTGTGTGTTGTTGTTAGAAATGACCTCAGGCCAATCTCTGTTTGCTTCACTCTCTGTGAGCCTTCAACTTCAGCTCCTCAGACTTGCTCCAGGGCTGGATGGTCAGGGATCAGTTTCTGACTTCAGATGGGCTCTTATAATTCATCTCCTCTGAGGCGATGAATTTGGTCGCTGTTGAAGTTTGAATTCTTGCCGTATTGACAGTCAGCACAATGTCCACACCTTATAGTCCTCCCACCTCCCTCTACCTGCTTTCTCTCTGCTGCATTGATAAATAAGAGCTTCGGAGCCCGCTGTGCTTCCTCCCTGGGCATTTATCAGGAGACATGAGAATATATTTCATCCCATGGCCAATCGTAGTCAGTCGCCTGAAGATGAATTACCCTAGAGTTCTTAAGGTCAGGGAAATATGGCTACTAAAACTCTCAAAGTGAACGCGGCCATTACTATCTCCACAATACAGTCGTCCCATCCCTCAGTGGGTCCTGGTGAAATATGGCCCAAAATAAATGTCTGGTTATTTTTCACACAGTGCCATGACCCTGCTCTGACAAACAAACTCGTAAAGATGGAGAAAAAAAACAACATTGACTGCTTTGCCACCAAATTAGCTTCCAAATCAGCAAAAAAAGCCTAAAAACAAATTAATAGCTTGATGTGCTTTGCCTAATTATTTTTGACACCACAGAATGGGATGCTGTCGAAAATTAAGTTCATTACCTTCATTACGCACATTAGGCCAAATAATTGTTTTTATGTTGTTCTAATTTCCTGTGCCTGAGAATAATGGCACTTTTGTTTTTGCCCGCTACCCTCTCCGTGCCCTCTAACACCTGTCTACCATTTCAGCTCAGGAACGGTGCCAGCACGTTTAGCATTTCCCTGCGCTGGTTTTGCATAGCTACGTCTTCTTGGGCTTCACTTGTTTGCTTTATGAAAATGATCCAYCTTGAATCAGATCTGTTTGTTTCCCAGCTGTAACACAAAACTGGGACTCCAGATTAGTTCTTGTGTGCGCAAAGCCCAAAACAAATCACCTCATCTATAACATATGTCACTTTTAACGTAATGAAGAAGATTAGAGATGTTCCTCAGACAAAGCACAGCTTTCATTTTATTGTGACTGTGACTTCTGCTGCAGTTTGTTTCTTTTCTTTTTTCAATTACAATGGAAGGAAAGGATGTCTTTTGTTTCAGGGGGAATGTTTTCCATCTTAGCTAATAGCCTGCAGATATGGTTGAAGTCTGGGAGCTGCTGACAAGCCAAAACCACTTTGCTACTTTGCTTATTTTAATACTTCACACAGCAATTGTCTATGGAAACACATCTGCTAGGAACAGATTGGGACAGGCACTCTTCAGAGGCCAGCGCTCAGCCTTACACTGTCACTATAAATACTGAGTGACTCTGTGTGCGTGTGTGTGTTTGTGTGTGAGAGAGGAACAATAACTGGCATCTTTGTGTATATTTCCTGCCTCTCTGAGGAAGAGCTGCTGACCTTTGATGATTGGCCGACTGAGCTCACTGGATCACTGCACCAGCCAAACACAGCTATTGCTCGACAGACACACACACACATACACAGACGTAACACGCGCACACACAAGAGTGCTGCTAAAACTTATATAAAATGCAACACTCACATACAGTAGATCCCAGCAGATACTATGCCCCTCCCCATCGTATCATGCATCAGTCCATTTGATCACGTCAATCAGTGCAAGATGCATAATTCAGTTTATTAATTCATCGGCTCATGTCAAGTGAAAACCCATTAGGACTTCAGAGTTTACAGATCAGCCAAAGAGTAACTATTTATATCGTTTTCTATTTAAGACGAACGCCGCCCTCTTGGTTTCTGGATGAAAAACTYCAATATGTTTCTGTCTTTGATATCTGTGGGAGATGATGGAGCGTCCTCCTCGTGTCCATCTGGTCAGCATCGGACCCCGCGGTGCCCCCTTTCTCCTTTGGCCCTAAGAGATCTGTCATTTCGCTTCCCCACAGAATAAACTCGCACTTTTTGTGACACGCAGGGGAGCGGCGTGACATATAAACTAAGGCATCCGGCCAGCAACCTGTGTTTGTATGAGAGAGCAACACAAAAGCATTTTCACCCCCCCCGAGCACGATCACAGTGTACACACACCCACGCACACACCTGCTTGTGTGTTTTCATAGCTGATTTGACCCGTGGCCGTTCCTCTGGCAGGTTGTGTTTTAATCAGCTGAGGGATGCTTCAATTCGCGCCTCTATTAATAGGTCAGAGGGCGTCACAGTGCCGACCCACGTGGCAAGGCGGTGTATTATCTTAGCAGCAAGTGTCGCATGGGTGTTAATTAGAAATGATCACCTAAAAAGGTCACCCAGGTAGCGAGGAGCCAGCGGTGGGCAACAGATGAAGCTAATGTGTGAACATGTGCCTGATGGGAAGGACAGTCTTTTCTTTTTTCTTTTCTGAAGTTAAACATTTATCACTAAAAGCTGACACCATGAGGAAGGAGGAGATGTTTATTTGATCTAATGWAAGTTTAAAAATATTTAAAAGTAGATACAAAGTCATGAAGAGAAACATTTTTTCCTCACTTACCCTCAAGCCTGCAGCCTCCTATTAGTGGCTAATTGATTAATTTCGTTTGGATCTATGTGTTGTTTTAGTGAAGTGAGATGAAATTACTCATAATTGTTGTTAATTAATTTTCATTATAAGAGTTGTTTTCACTACTTAAAGTAGACAGTTGCTTTTAAATCCTTCTTTTTCACATTTGAATCATTCAGTTCTATATAAAGTGGAACTGTAATGCTCTGGTCTGAATTACACCTTATTGTAACTCCACAAGCCCCTCTTTCATCTCTTTTGTGAGGTGTGTCTCAGATTAACTCATTTTGAGACTGTGTCTTTATATYCAAATGAGGCGCTTCGTACCCCTCCCCKCTCAAGCTTCCAGAGCGGTCCAGTTACGATTATATAGTGGCACAGAAACTTATTTTCAAATCAATTAAAAGATGTCAARAAGGGAAGATCTGTCCATCCAGCCTTACATGGAGCCAGAGTCTGACCCGGAGCCAGAGGAGGATGAAGACAGTSAAATTGTAGTTGGTAAGTCCAGACCTTATTTGTCAGTTCCATCACAAAAACTTTGATATAATAGTTCAGAAAATGTGACATAAAAAAAGAGAAAACTGAAGGGGATGAAAAATAAATCCCGAACAAAATATAAAAAAAATATCTTTGCAGTACAGGGAGAGACTAAATGGTTTTTTTTGCACTCCAAGTACACATCAAAAAGTATCTAATGGCTAAAAAAATTGGATTTTGATTAAGTCCAKTTTAAAAGTTAAAATGTTTACTCAAAAACAATGCGATCAATCTGTCTAAAGCTTCACCTTCTTCATGGTTTTAGAGTTAAACATAAAGTTTGCAGTATGTGGGTGGTGTTGAACTCACTCTGTGGGCACTGCTCGCTGGTACAGTTTATAGACTGGAGGTCGAGCCCCTGGCAGTCTTTGCCCCCGGTGCCGGGTGAGGGCTGGGTGCACTCTCTGCTCCTCCACATCGAACAATCTGCTCCGCATGCCGACCACTTGCTCCACTCGCTCCAGCCTCCATCCACTAAAATAAAAACCAGACATGTAGTTAAATTGTTATTCTTAAAACAGCTAAAGGGCATCTCTAAAAAGTTGCAAATTTGTCTTTTTTTTGTTCGACAAATATGAAGTTTTCTAATGAAGGTGTAAAATTCTGACACACAAGTGGTGCAAAAGCCGTGGTTTCTTTGCAGGTGTTGCCATCCTGTCTGAACCACTTGTTAGAAAGTGTAAACCTGGTCTTGATACCCTATAAAGACATGCAAATCCACTTGTTCATACTTAAATCCAGCAGCTGCACTGGGGAAACCACAGTGTGTAAAAACTGCTGAGGAGAGCCAGGTTGTCTCATTTCTGCTCTCATTGTTTATTTTCATCATGGAAATCAGATGCAAATAGGTTAAACCCCACTGGCATGAAGGTGCTGCATAGCACAGTGCTACAGTTCGCCAGGCCCCGGCTGTCAGCAGACCAGATCTAGTCAGGAACATTTTTTCCCCAGCCCACTGTCAAACATACAAGCTTCAAGTTTTCCTGAATAAATAAACGCTGGTGCAATTAAACAACCTGCTTTCAGTTTGATTACTTTGTCAAACAAGATGTTATCGAGGCGACTGCTGTGGTGCCTGCAGCACAACTGGATGCAAAACCTAAGAACAGGAGGTCTCGCTCTGAGCCGGGAAGAATGAGCATTACCCCTGCAGTTCGACCACAACTTCAAACAGCRCCCGTCATCAGCGCAAAGCAAAATGAGACAAATGAAAATGGGGCCGTAATAGTTCTGAGCACGCCTTGTTATAAGAAATATCAGTGGCTTTTCTCCACATGGAGAAGGAGGCCATTTCGCAAAGGTGGGGGTAATTTTGGCATTGTGGCCGGTGGAGGTGGTGGAGTGATTCTGAGAGCGACACGGTGCTGGAGCCTGGAGGAGGTTACCATTCGGCTAATGGYAAAAAGAGCAGTAATGAGCTCTCATGGGGGGAAAAACACCTCTGTCTCGCTCTCTTTTCCAGATGTAAGGGTGAAGGGGACCTGATGACATTCATTTGCTCTCTCACACACTTCTACGACAGCAACCCTTCCCCCGATTGACCAGAGAGGTAAGAAAACCTAAGTGTTCATTAATCCTGGCAATAAAAAGTCCAGGGGAAATGACCCCCAGACAGCAGATCATACCTACAGCACTTCACCAGGCTGTGCTTAATAAAACATAAGTGAGGCTGCACATAATTTCATAATTGGAACAAAAATAGGTTTAGTTTGATTTTCAAGCAAGTCTCAATTTGGACAGCCAAGCTGACGAGCAAATTAGACAAAGTGTGTGAATTAAACTCAGCTCTCACACCAATCTGTATGTTTGTCCACGAGTGTTGTCAAATGACTGCTGAATTTGAGAGCACTTGTATGTGTCTSTGGTGTGGTTTGATGCTGACACAGCTTGGACCTCTTTTTTTTGGAGTCAGATCCATTTGGCAGAGGGAGCAGAACCAATCAGATAATTGTCCTTGTTTGGCATTGAGTGGACCCATCCCTGGGCCAGTGGGCTGATTGTCCAGACTGGGAATGAAAATGATTGAATAGCAAATTACATCCTAATGAATATATTATGTTGCCCCTCAGTTTATCCACGCCGCTGTGAAATATAAAGAGATGAGATCAACATCTGCCTTGACGAGATGATAAAATTCTACTTCTCTTTTCCACCACAAAGCACGACTAATGGCCATGCAAATGACATTTTCAAACAGGCAGATTGGTGTGGCAACAAAGTGATGCTTCAGGATGGYAGATGTGAGACAAGGAGTGCGATGCGAGGCTGTGGGAAATCAAAAGAAAGATGAAAATGCATAAACAGGCCTTGATTGCCCGTCTCTGAATGCAGGTCACATATTTCAAGAGGAAAATGCGCCTCTCCCGTGAGCACAAACCAAATAAATGTATGGTTCACACAAACCTTTCTCTTAACCAAAAAAGCACTAAAATAGAGAACTTCTTTTTAAAGGGATCCATGATTAGTTGTAACATTAGACTTTATTTGATAAARTTATATTTTAACTGTAAAATAAAGACTGTAAAAACACTATAGGATGTTTAGTTTTTATCATTTTTAAATTAAAAGTTTAAAAATATATTACACGGACGGGGCCATTTTATTTACACACAAAGCATTCTGGGTAAATGACATGGATAGGTCATCGGTGCGAGGATGCTAGCGAGCTATATCCACCCTGAAGGTTAATCTTGGACAATATCTGATGATCGACTCTTTTAAATGAAACCAGAGAGCGTTGACAGAGAGGAGAAGGTAGAAATGACTCAGCCTGTAACTGAAAATATGGATGGAGGACAACAGAGCTGCTTCATGAAAGAAGAACCTCATCTTAGCCTGTTAGCCTTTGCGCTAGCGCCAACGCTATATTTCTATATGTATTAGCTCGGTGCTAGTGCGACAAACAAGCTAAACTGAGGTCCTTCATCCACATTTTCAGTTACAGGCTGAGTCATTTCTA